TGATCATCAAGCGACAGTCACATTCTCTTGGAATTCTGTGTTATCGGCTCTCGAGAACCATCATGTTCCAATTGAGGATGATAGGTTCAGGTTACATAGTGTCGAGGAGTTTGAAGCAAATTGTGATGCCAAGGGTGGCCTTTTTGGAGAGTTATTTTGAACTATTTAAGCTGTCTGCGCTTATGTATTTATCTAGGCAGTGTTTATTTAATTTGTAAGGAGCTGATGAAATGTTACATAGTCGTTTACATGTTGCCCGAGAATACTTATCATATCTGCTGTTTTTTATTTTCAATGGCAGACTATCTTGGACACATGAAGCTTGTTAATGTAATAACTATTCTATTTGTAAAATTCATTCCATTTTTTATTCCAAAAATATCCATTCCTTATATTTATGATATTCTATTAAAAATAGTCTGTTGCAGCCTATGTGAAAGAGGTGGGGATAGTGGTTTTAGAATGAAAACGATGTGCTTAGAAACTTGTTGATGAAATGATTTTTAAGTTCTAAAATTTGTTTTAAGAGGTTTACGTGAAAATGGTGGAGATTGTGGCCTTGAGTGAGAAATTGTGATGGAACTTTCTTTTTAATTGGAAGAAAACTCTGCACTAATGATGCATTTTAATTTTCTTTTCATTAAATCTTGGCACAAAAATCCTAAGTAACGGAAAGTGAATAAGGCTATCTACAATGGTTCATAAATTCAACACCCTACTTTGTATTTTTAAATACTCCACATCACTTCCTTTTTTCCACATAATTATTCATTATAAATTATAAGAAACAAATTTCATTTTTGTGTTATATCCAAACTAAATAAAATTAGTATCATTTTATAGAGTATTAAAATTAAAAACTTTTGATATAAATCAAAGTAAAAAACTAAATTTATTTACTATCCAAATTGAGCTATAAACAATTAGGAGGAAAAAAAAATATCAATAGCCATTAACAAATGGCCACATGTCTTGTCTTTCTCCTCTTTTTTATGTTTCAACATGTTGAAGAAGTTCAATATTGCTTAATCCACGTTGGTTTCAACAACCAGTTCAACACATTCATTGTGTCTATTCAACAATTGAATAATGTTTTCAACAGCTCCATTGTAAGTGGTCTAAGAGAGAGATGAAATCTTTACTATTGATTCTCGAGGAAACTGTTAAGAAAATCCAACTTTCCAAAATAACCCAATAAAAAATCTAACTCATTAGTGAGCTATTTAAATCTCAAATTATTTAACTTTTCTCATTTAAATCACAAACTTTATTTGATCGAGCCAATTTAAACACGTCAAAAGTCAATAGTTAAAAACATGTTAACACCATTACCTACTAAAACTATATAGCTGTTTCCTAACATAAACTCGCCTCAAATCTCCAATTTTCACACCTTATTCTCAAACTATATAGCCTTTTCCTAACATAAAACTCGCCTCAAATCTCCAATTTTCACACCTTATTCTCTGAAATTTCCAAATCGAAAACTACAATCTTTCTACTCAGTTATGTTGGCAACGTGAAATTTTCCTGCAAACTAAAATCGAAGATACTACTTGTATTATGTGTCAATGCTATTATTTAGTGAAGATGACTTTGGCGTCGACAAAGTGATTCTAAGTCCAAACTTTCCTACGAAGGTAATAAACAACCATCGAGTCTTGCGTTCAGAAACCTGAAAAATGCATTTTCGTTATTTGTTTAGATTGTGATGTTGGCTTCTCTCGGCTTGTGGTTGAGATGAAACTAATGTAAACATGAGTTTGAAGCTTGTGATCGAACTCCGATGCGTAAACCGGATTTAAGTTTAAATTTTTCGTGTTGAAAGAGGTAAGAGTAGAGAGGTCCACATAGCACATCAAGACTAACAAAGACGACGTATCAGATGAAAGTTATGCAACTGATACTAAGTTCTATTGATTGGAAACTGTGGCTAAAAGTGTGGAGAAATCAAGAAGGTAGATGAGAAAAATATTTCTACTTATTATGTTTCTATTGATTGTATCAGATGCAAGTTATGCAACTGATACTAAGTACTTTGTATTCCTTATATATTTCAGTTTTTAGGTAGATGAGAAAAATCTTTCTACTTATTATGTTTCTACCTCAATAGCTGCAATACGTCGTGTGAACCAAAAACCTATTAATAAATACGAACACATTCTAACTAATTCCCAAAATAAATAAACTAACCAAAAGCCTATATATAGCTCAAGCTTATCTGTGATTTGAATAGCAAAGCAACAAAAATCATTTATCTTCATGTTTATCATTTCATTACATACTAGAAGAAATTGGTCAAAATGACAAGAACTACAGAGAAGAGAGAAAGATAATGAAGAAATTTGTTTCAAAGAAAAGATACTGAAGAATTTCTAATTTTCATGCCATTGACTCTTACAGCTCTCCACAACATTATGAAGATATATGGCGTACGTTATGAGCCGTTTTCAAATCTGGATCCTTTGATCTTTTCGCAAATGATACTTGTGTCGAAGTTGAGATTGCAACAGTTGGAGATTTTATTTGCATTTGACTAGAAGTTGAGATTTTGGGAACTTGGGAGAACAAGGTGTGGCAATTAGGGTTTTGAGGGGAGTTTATGTTAGGCAAACCAACAAAGTTTTAGTAGGTAACAGTGTTTACATGTTCTTAACTGTTGACTTTTGAGATTTAAATTGGCTCGGCAAAATAAAGTTTTTAATTTAAATGGGAAAAGTTTTTTAAAAATGATATTTAAATAGTTCACTAATGAGTTAAAGCTTTTATTGGCTTATTTTGGAAAGTTAGAGGGTTTGTTTGGCAATCTTCCCTTTGTTTTTCTATAAACATTGTTTAAAAAAAAAAAACTTTGCCAAATGTCAGATTTAATTATTGAGGTGATATTGTGTTTTATTATATAAAGAACGGGTTTTGATATATTTGTTATTTGAGTTAAATTATTTGTCATAGTTATTGTTGTTTGTTTGATATGCTATCATCTAGAACTAATGATTTTGTAAATGTTTTTAAGTTTATAAAATTATGAATTGAAAAAGACATTGGCGAAAGACTATTGGAATATGACTTTGATGTGTTATCAGTGCGATTGTATGATCAGAAAGGTGAATTATTTTATAGAATATTGAACAATTGAATTAGTGCATACTAAAAGACAATTCGAGATAGAGAAGCAGTGGTCGGCTTGACCCGATTATTTATTTGGCCAATTACTTATTTCAGTTCATATGGCATTACAAACTTTATTGATTTTACCAATATCGTTATATCTTCTTTGTGACTTTTTTACAAGGGAAACCTTTATAATTGTTTTATCATGATGCCACTTCTAAAAGTTTAAGGTCACATAATTTATAAAGATCAACAAAATATACATATGGTCGATTACTCACACATATTGTATACAACGTATTTTTTTGGTCTTTTGCTTCCTACTTTCCTAGCATCAAGGTTCATGCAATAAATAATTATTGTATTCAAATTTGATGAATCTAAATGCTAAAAACGGTAAATAAGTAAAAAAGTTATATTTAGAAAATTTCAGTATTTGTATAATGATTATTATATTCATTATCAACCATAACTGTTTTTTGTTCTTATCAACCATAATGCAAGATAAAAATTACAAAAATTCGATTCAAATAAATCGGCATGTTTCGATAAATACATTGATTGGTCTCTCGATCTATATACAACAGAGTCTTAATAATTAATATTGCAGAGATTTTGAAAATTATTAATTTATAAAAATATTTATTTATATTTCTTTATTTAGATTTCTTATTTTAAAACATATTTACTATAAGATAAAAAAATATTTAATTTTATTGAAATTTGAAATTTATTTATTTTATTATATTATTTAGTGTACATAATATATATATATATATATATTTATTGCATACAATTTAAATGTGTTTATAGAAACAATATTACTAAATCTCATAAAATATATTAAGTGTTAAGAAAATATAACTATAATTCCATTGTAAATAGAAACAAACAATATAATTATAGATTCTTACTTATATAAGATATGTATACTTATAAATAAATATAATTAAATAATTAAATTTATTAATTATGTTTTATTTTAAAGATATGCTGTATTTTCTAGTCTATGATGTAATTTTATATAATTTTCGATTTCTTCACACATATAAATCTTAAAAATTTATTAATAAACATTTTGTAGCTATTTAGAAAAATATATATATATTATTATAAATTTATTAAAATTAAAGAGGAGATATATATGAAGATGATAAGATATTTATTATTTGTAAGAACCAAAAAAGTAAAAAAAAAAAAAAAAAATTATAAGACCTTAAAAATATTCAACAAATTATAGCATGATAAGTATTATTTTTAAGATTCGTTAACCAATAACGATTAATGTAAACCAAGTTAGAGTACAATAGAAGAATTATAAACACGGTAAAATTAGACCGATGCCTGGAATAATGTAGAGCAAGTTGTGGGATCTAACACAACAAATTCGGTTGATCCTTTTAAAGCGGACCGAGGCCACTTAACTTTATGTATATCCAAATTATTGCTGAAGCAAGGATTAAAACAAAAGTTGATCTATGATAATGATCATTACCTTATATTTAAACTTAGTTTTAAGGTGATCTAAAGTTTTAGTTAAACAAATTATCGAAGAGCTTTATGTATATCCATTTCCATTTAATTTGTGATGAAATTTCATAAAGGTCTCACGTTTAAGTATTGCAACTGATGTTCTTTTCAAACTTTGTCATGCCAAGAAAAAAAATTGCTTCTTTTATTCTTATAGAACTGTTTAGTTTTATAGTTGACCTCTCTTTTCAGAAGCCTACTTTGACAGAAAAGTTGTGATAGAGAAAACTGAAAATATTATTATACTCTTTTATTAACTGTTTAGTAACCAATCTTCGTACTCACTGCAGTACAAAGAATATGAGTAATGCAAAGAATACACTCATCCCCATGAACTTTAACAAAAATATGGTAGTAATGGCAATTGTACAAGTTGAAACAGATTACTGAAATGTTTGAGATTTGAGACATCAATTGAATCCACAAACTTGAGATTTTAATCACCTCTCTGTTTCTGAAATGAATTTCAACATAGTCAAGATAACCAACGAGGAAATGAACATACCACAAAAAGATTTCTCAAACATGAATGTAGAAATCTAACCTTGGGTTTTTATAATGGGCCGAGTAATAATAATAAATCTAATGGCCCAAAATTGAATTTTCCGGTTTTATCTTTAAACCGATTTCGATTTTAATATTTTAAATCTCAACTATTTCTCCCTTCTTCCTCGTTTGTTGAGATCAGATAGAGGATCTTTAGGTGTGTGTCATGGATTGGCAAGGGCAGAAAGTGGTGGAGCAGGTGATGCAGATCTTACTGGTGATCTGCGGCGTCGTGGCGGTGGTTGTTGGCTACGCGACGGAGTCGTTCAGGATGATGATGATGATCTACGCAGGTGGTGTGGTTCTCGCGACTCTGGTGACTGTACCTGATTGGCCATTCTACAATCATCATCCCCTGAAATGGTTAGATCCCAGCGAAGCCGATAAGCATCCCAAACCACAAGTCGCCGCCGTTGCTTCCAAGAAGAAATCTCTTAAGAAATAGATCTGATTTGAATCTCTCTCTCTCTAGCTGTTGTTGTCTTTCAGATATTTTCTGGATTTGCCAAGTCTTATGATGAATTCAATGTTCTGGATTAACTCTTTAACATTTCTCAAAGGAATTTGCTTTTTCTTTTTTTGGGGGGGGGGGGGGGGGGG